ACAATAATCATTTCTTTGAATAATTAAATTTTCTTTATCCTATGTTTTTGAATATGGTCCACAACTATACATTCGTTTTCAATAATCCTTTTATTAATCGTGCGTTCCGAAGGACGTGGTAAAAGATTTCATTTGCGATGGTTCATTGTTTTTAATGTAATTTATAAGTAGTACAGTATAATGTTAATTAAATTGATTATATTAAATATTGTTTCCTTGTATGCATTGTGTAACCGAATAACGATACAGACGAGACTAGCAGGTGGTGACCTTTAAGTAGCGCTACCCCTTTTCGTTCAATTTTTTGATTTTTTTTTATCCCTAGCGCTAAATAATAATTAGTTTATCGTTTCTTTTACGCCATTAGTCGACACCCTCCAACTTATTCTCCGTCTTCTCTCTGTCTGTCTGTTCCTTTTGCACTCCCTCTTTCGTTCATTCGTTCTCTCTCTCTCCCTCTCTCTCTCTCCCTTTCACTTATTCTTTCACTCTCTCTCATCATTTCCCCCTATCTTCCACGCACATTCCCCGTGGGTGCTCTCTTATTGTGTATTGGCAGCGTTTGATGGATTGCGAAATAATAGTCAAAGGAAGCCCATTCGAACTCAGAATAGACGATCGATCGAGTTTATGGGAAACGTGCATCATGATCTTGAGAAAAGGAAAATTAACAGTCGGTTGAAGAATGGCTCACGACTTAATTATCTTAAAGGCACAGGCAACATGTAGCATAAAAACGCATTGATATATATTGATCAGCTCTCATCGTATTATAAAGCGAAGATTTCTTTTTACGTTTTCTTGTTTTAATAATCGAATCTTCCATTGACCATTTGAACGGTTAAGAATTATTCAGTCACGTTAAAGATATACTTCTGTTCAGAGTAGAGAACCACGTGACTACTGCAAGGAACGCAGCTAGGTGTTAGAATATTCGCTTAATAAGAGAGTCCCTTCGTTTCTCACCCTAAAACTTTCTTTTTGATTATTATCGTTATTCATTGAAAAAAGTAAAGACTGCGACTGAAAATAGTTAGATATAAGAAGAAGAAAATGGTTAGACATTCGAAAATGGAGGATTTGGTATAATGTTTCGTTTGAAAGATTGAAGGAAGATAACTTTGTGCTGAAGCTTATTTTAAATACAATTGTGGAATTATTCGGTAGCAATCCGAGCAGACAATGGTGTTACACTGAAGGTTATCTTTAACGTGAACGTATAATAGGTACAGAAAATACTCAGTACAATTGAAATACAATTCAAGAATTAATGATCTTCGACTGATTTGACTAATACACCGTTTTTGCATCTGATTATAACATTTCTATTTTCTTGTTGCAGATGAAATTACTGACTTGTGCAATTTATTGTTTCCATCGATCTCCCTGTAAAAAATTCCTGTAGAGAATTTAGTAATTAGCTTAGGTAATTAAAAACATGTACTTGAAGAATCAAATTCCAATTTATAGAATTATTTTTTAAAATTAGATTGGTAAATTTACTTGACCCATTAAAACTCGTTTGAAGATGGACCGAATTATCACTGAAAAATCGGCAACATCATACGCAACAAATTAATATCGTTACGTTAAGAATTAAAAATAATTATATATTTACAAATGAAATAATGAATTCATGTTAATATCCGATGTCGAAGACGTAATATATTACATAAGGGGAATTCTTAATCATATACTTGCAAAATTGAACCGCGAAATGATTATTAGCTTGAACGCATCCATCGCAGAGACACTTATAAATGTACAGGGACACTGAAAAACGTTACACATTAATCACTTAGACGAATTTTCACATTTCATTACATATGACTAGCGACATTAAAAATGTAGCACAATATAGGCGTACACCGGTATCATATTGAAAGAAAAAGTCACCCTGACTAATCTTTTCATTTGTATATGAAGTGTGCTGGTAAATTATATTCTGCATTTAACGAGTTCGAAATTATAGAGGGTATTCCATTCATCTTGACCATCACAAGAATATGCTAAAATATCTTAAACGTGATACATTTATTATTATGGCAAGGAAAAAGTAAACTTGTGTTTTAATGTAGATAATTTTGTGATGTATTTTTGTAACAATATAAAAATGAAAGGAAATGCATGATAATATAAGAAATTCTTTGTAAACACTTCGTAAGTGATTAAGTTAAATGAAACACCCCTTATAAGCTATATTACAATGTGTGATTCAGTTAATGAATGTGTTCTACAACACTTTCCGGATCACTGAAATCATGAATAAAAGTTTTTTTCGTTTATCGAGAGAGTTTGTAAATTATTACTAATTGACTGCGGACTTTATGCATTTATAGAAGTATATTTGTTGGTTGTGTGTGTTTGCGCATGTAGAATACAATAATATACATGATCGAATAAAAAAAGGCTTAACAAATAATTAATTTTATTTATCTATAACTACTAAAAAAAAATTCCAAAAAATTTATAAGTGTGCGGATTGTTAGAATTGATACAGTAGTTCCATAATTTGTTAGTTTTTGGTGGAACTATAAAAAAATGTGGTAAAAACAGTTATTACTTTACAGTAAATTTAAGGTTATATGATTTAAGTTAAATACTTTAAGGTTTCCTTTGATTATAGATTAGAGACACTAATAAGGGAATGTAAAAATAATCATTTTTCATTTTTTCTGTAGTTTGTAACGAAATAATTCGACTTTTATCAAGTTTTTACTGGATTCATATTAAATTCTTAAACATTACACTACAAATGCCTAGTGTAAATAATTTGGCACACCCCTGTAAATTCTTTGTAATCATGTAATCCGGAAATATCTAAATTTACATAAAATTCCGCAGTCTGGTTATTCTTATATAAAAGAAGATTGAAATCTGTACCATAATTTTCGTGGAGAGTGTTACAAGTAAAAATGCTTTTCGTGTTCAAGCGTCAAGATTTTGGAAGGATCTCTGGATATATGATCCGATATCGGTGTATTTGTAAATGAACATTGGAATGTGTACTGTACATAGGGTGCTGCAGTAAATATATAAATATACATATATGTATATACACGTATATAGATATATGTATACGTATATCGAAATACAGTAGCGGAAACACGCGTTGGACACACTCTAAAAGACACGAATGAGTCACGAAAATGGATGCACGAATCATATTATATAAAATTGTCCTCCTCGTTAATATCAATAACTCGTATTTACAAATTTGTCTCCTCTTCGCCTAACGGATCTAAAGTTCGGCCAATATCGTCATTTTGGTCGATGAGCCGCCTACTAATAATTACATTACGTGCGAAGAACTTGACCGGAAGATAAAGATAAGTTGCCAATGCCTTCAAAATTTCTGCGTCAGTCACTTCATGACCATTAACACGCGCAAGATACGTAGTGATATTTTCTTTCCTTCTTACTCTCACAACGAACGTTTTAACGTCTTC